CCCATTCCCACTGGACAGTGATGTTGATGTTGTAATGGGCAACCCTCTCTACCGTTCCGTCAGCACGGACAGCCTCACTAGGGTAACCGACCCTGGCTCTTACACGCCCCCAGAGGATCTGAGTAAGCTCATTGGTCAGGCTCCTCTAGGAGAGTTGCCTACCATAGAAGAAGGTTTACAAATCATTCATTCTGGCCGGCCGGTACACAATGAGCCTCGTATGCGGCCAGAGGGGGCGCCGTCTGGCTTTTACCTCCACTCGCCTGAGGAGGGTGGAGCCAGACTGAGCAGCTCTGCCCCATGCCGGACTGGGATGATGCATCGACCAATGGGAGGATGGATTAATAGCAGCGGGAACCGAAAACGGCAACCTGTAGGTTCACAAGAACACAATGGAGGTTTAGAGTGTGACACACCTGAAAACTCCCCCAAAACCTCCTCCAGTCCAGCCAACGGACCCAAGACTGGCCGCATGACAAACTTTGCTGAACGCAGGAAGATGATGCCAGAATCCCCAAGTAACTCCAGGTCCCAAGAGGTAGTGTCGTTGTGCAGCCCTGCAGAGATGAGCCCTGTTGGGGCAGTGGAAGCGCAGGAACTGGGTGCACGTCTAGAGGAGAAACGCAAAGCAATTGAAGCACAAAAGAGGCGGATTGAGGCCATCTTTACCAAGCACAGGCAGAGGCTGGGCAAAACTGCTTTCCTTCACCTCCAGAAGAAACAAGGGGAAGAAGTGGGAGACGACGGACAGTCCCTTACCCTGGATGAACGACTGACACAAATGGAGCAACAGCTTCAACGAGAGGAGGACAAAGAGAAGGAGGAGGAGAAGAGTAAACTGGAGGAGAATAAGAAAGAAAAGGATGGGGAACAGAAGAAGAACACCAGCGATGTAGTATCCCCGCCTAAACTGGAGAAACAGGTGACCTTCTCTGTTGATACAAAGAAAGAGGTGGAGAAAGAGCCTCCGTTGGAGGAATATAATGAGGCAGTAGCTAAGCTAAGCTCCACCCTACAGACCTTACAAAGGGACATGCAGCTCCTTACAGAACAGCAGCAAAGGCTCATGGGAAAGAAAACTCTGAGTTCTCCGAAAAACGCCTCTTCAAATAAGACAACTGCCTCTAGTAAGGCCTGGGTCATCCCAGCGGGTCCCAAATCCCCTCATCTTTCTAGAGACTCCACCCGTATCATTTCACCCTCTAGATCTCCTTCACGCTCTGCACAACCTTCTGACACACCAAGATCCCCTAAAAGCTCAGCATCATCTGCTCCACGGAGATCCCATGGAGCTACTCCTAAGAGCCCCAAACGTCAACGTCCCTCCCGCCCCACAGAACTCGGCTTCCAGCCTCTCACACGTGTCCTAACGCCCCCACGGAACGTGGACACGCTTCCCCATCTGCGGCGAGTCTCTCCGAGTCAGTGTCAGGTGCAGACTTGCTCCTCACTGCGATTCGGAGGTCCACGCACACCTCAGGACTCTCCGCTGCAATCTACTCGGCCTCAAGAGAGCACATCAGAATCAGGCTCCAGCGAGCATCACACCCCGATCTTCACCCTGGAGCTTGAGGCTGGACCTCCGTCTGCGCTCCCAGCTGAACTCTTAGGCGGGGGGAGCAGTTCGGGAGCCCCGTCAGAGTGCTCATTTGAAAGCGACATGTTCCTGAGCAGCGCCCTGGTGAAAGATGAAACAGAGGGTGCGGGGACAGTGGGAGACGACACAGATCTGGAACAGGGTGCAGAAATATTCTCATCGGATTCCATGAGTGACCAGACAGAGAATGAGAGCAGGCTGGGACTCGATGTGTTCTTCAAGGTGTGTGTGAAGGTCTGCATGTTGTTTGGTTAATGGTACGTGTCTGAGGTGTTTGTAACGTGTGTATTTGTGGGCGTTCAGGAGGAGGGTCTCTCGGAGGAGGAGATGGCCCTGAAAAGGGCTCTGCTATTTGAGCGGCAGCAAAGACGAGCGCAAGAGATCAAGAAACGGACAAGATACGGGCAAGATCCTGAGAACAGGTAAGAACACCCAAATATCCAAACCCTCTCATTCGGGACCTGCATTCAGGACTTACTTACCTCTGCTTCCTCTTACAGTCAACAGGTTTCTGTGGAGGACCTACGACCCTCTCAAACTCCACCGCTTTCACAGTCACTACCCACCTCATACACCCCGCCCCCTCCTTCAAAGGCCACGCCCCCAGGAACACCCCTGCGTCGGGGAGCGTTCACACGGGCAGAGTATGAAAGGCGCCACCAGCTGAAGATAATGTCTGATCTAGGGAAGGTTCTCAAACAGAAACCAGCTAAGCACAGTGGCAAAAAACAGCTCACACACAAACCGCACAACAACCATGAGATTACTCACACACGCTCGCCAGGGAAGAACAGAACAGGTAACCACTAACATCACAAGTATCTTGTCACCAATCAGAATTGCGATCTGCCTGTATGAACGAAACTGCAACATGCTCAACCAATAAATGGAGTTTGGGACAGGACTCTCAAACTGTTTGTCAGATTGCAGTAGTGTTTGAAAGTTGTGTTTTTTTCAGTTCTGATTGGTAGTGCTAGTGGTGCAGAAATTACACACACTGCTGCTTTCAAGATTTCATTAGCATGCCCTAAAAAACAGTTGTGTTTTCTTTTAGTTGTAGCTAACCAGAAAGATGGCGGATCTCTACCAGCTGAAAAACCAGCAAGGTACTGTACACTGCTGCTTAGACATGCTTTTGTCTTCTGCCTTCCATACATCTCTGTCTGTACTTAAACACTTTCTCTCTCATCCAACAACTCAGTCGTTCAGAGTCACCCTCAAAGGTGATATCATCAGGGAAACAGGCCAATCAGAATGGAGAGAAAGACTGGGAACAAGCCTTAAATGCCTCCTCTCCAGCCTCACTCCCAGAATACACAGGTTTGTTGTTTTTATGATCAGCTTCCACATTTGAAAATAATTACAACTAAAGGAGGTTTGTGAAGTCACACTTGACAAGAACCAGTCAAGGCTAGTTTGAACCCTAAGTTTGAACTGTAAGATTTTAGATTAATAATGGGAATAAAAGTCTGGTCAATTGAAAGATATAGAATACACAGTCAGAGCAAACTGAATGTAGTCTAGATGCTGTCTAATAATGTTTAAGTATGCTGACTTTGTCAAGCCAATTTATAATAATATTAAATCATAGTGGTTTAACTGCACTGTGTAGAACAGGTTTAAGTATGAAGACAAAGTGATTTGACCTAATTTGAGAAGATTTAATCAGTACCTTATTTTATGACTGTAATCAGTACCTTATTTTATGACTGTAGTCAGTACCTTATTTGATGGGTGTAGTCAGTACCTTATTTGATGGGTACTGTACCTTATTTGATGGGTACTGTACCTTATTTTATGACTGTAGTCAGTACCTTATTTGATGGGTGTAGCCAGTACCTTATTTGATGGGTGTAGTCAGGACCTTATTTGATGGCTGTAGTCAGTACCTTATTTTATGACTGTAGTCAGTACCTTATTTGATGGGTGTAGTCAGTACCTTATTTGATGGCTGTAGTCAGTACCTTATTTGATGGCTGTAGTCAGTACCTTATTTGATGGCTGTAGTCAGTACCTTATTTGATGGGTGTAGTCAGTTCCTTATTTGATGGCTGTAGTCAGTACCTTATTTGATGGGTGTAGTCAGTACCTTATTTGATGGCTGTAGTCAGTACCTTATTTGATGGCTGTAGTCAGTACCTTATTTGATGACTGTAATCAGTACCTTATTTTATGACTGTAGTCAGTACCTTATTTGATGGGTGTAGTCAGTACCTTATTTGATGGCTGTAGTCAGTACCTTATTTAAAGGGTGTAGTCAGTACCTTATTTGATGGCTGTAGTCAGTACCTTATTTGATGGCTGTAGTCAGTACCTTATTTGATGACTGTAATCAGTACCTTATTTTATGACTGTAGTCAGTACCTTATTTGATGGGTGTAGTCAGTACCTTATTTAATGGCTGTAGTCAGTACCTTATTTTATGACTGTAGTCAGTACCTTATTTGATGGCTGTAGTCAGTACCTTATTTGATGGCTGTAGTCAGTACCTTATTTGATGGCTGTAGTCAGTACCTTATTTGATGGGTGTAGTCAGTACCTTATTTGATGGCTGTAGTCTGACCTTATTTGATCTGTGTGGTTTTCACTCACAGTCAGTTTTATCTTCTTTTTCAGGTCCTAAATTATTCAAGGAACCCAGTTTTAAATCCAACAAGTTCATCGTTCACAGCGCGCTCTCACGCTGCTGCCTCGCCGGGAAGGTCAACGAATCCCAGAAAAACAAGATTGTAGAGGTGCGTCACTGTTCATCTTTCTCCACAGTCGTGACTTTCACATTCTGACAGTCCGTTTTCTCCCTAGGAGATGGAGAAGAGCTCCGCCAGCCACTTTCTGATTCTCATGCGTGATTCCAACTGTCAGTTCCGCGCCATCTACACCCTCGACGGCCAATCGGAGGAGCTGCAACGACTATGTGGCGTCGGCCCGCGTGTCATTTCCTCGTCGGCCGTGGAAGCCATTTATAAATACAGCTCTGACAGGAAACAGTTCAATACTCTTCCGTCTCGTACATTGAGTATGAGCGTCGACGCTTTCACTATCCCCGCCCATCTCTGGCACACTAAGAAACACGGCACGCCCAAAAAAGTAGCCACGCCCAAATAGGCCACGCCCACCAAAATAAACCACTCCCACTATAATAAAGACCTGTTCGCACCAGGAACAATAAATATAACATTATAAGCAGTGTTGGGGAAAGTTACTTTGAAAAGTAATGCATTACAACATTGCGTTACTCCCTTAAAAAGTAACTAATCGCTTTACTTAGTTACTTTTTTAGAAAAGTAATGTTAAGTTACGTTAAAAACAAGCCCAGCCCATGTGAAAAAAAAAAGTTACTTTATAACGTTTGTTACGTTATATTTTCGGGCACATGTAAAGACCCTATCACAGCTAAAGTGAAAGAATAATCCTCATGCTGAAGGAAATGCAGATTGATTCCTGTACAGTAGAGGCTCAAACAAACCTTTAAGCTGTTATTCTGGAGAACAAAAAAATCTATAGTCATTTTTGCTTATGGTTTAACTGAATCATCAGTGGTCAGAAGCAAGTACATTGGTCAATAAAGTGAGATTAAATGCATAAAAAATTATGTTTTATTTAACATATTTAGTTATTGGAGGTTTGCATAGTATTCTGATTCTGCATTTCACTGATTGTATTCATTTTGAGGAATATTGAATCTTTTTTTGTGCAAGTGAGATGAGTAAATGCTCACATTTAGTCTAGAACTACAATAACCATCATGTTTACACACAACGCCTCTGCACTTCGATTTGTCTCAACATGGTGACAAGAGAGCTGTCAGTCAATAAATGGGACTCGGATATTGTTTTGTAAATTTTAAAAATAATGCGTTACTTTACTAGTTACTTGAAAAAGTAATCTGATTGCGTAACTCAAGTTACTTGTAATGAGTTACTCCCAACACTGATTACAAGCATATACTTAAATGGACAATAACTATAATGATAATTGTAATGATAACTATATTAGCGTCCACACTAATAGACGATATCTTTCTGTTTATTATAAGCACGTTGCAGTTTTTTGGTCTGTCTCTTTAAAATGCTTTAAAGCAGGATGGATTCTGATTGGCTGTCAATGTTTTTATCGTTCATCAGCTGTAAACATTCACTCTGAAAGTGATACATTTCCTCTGTGCCATTATCGTCAAGGTGTGGACATCGTTATTCTCATAGTTACAGCGATTGTTTAAAACGTAGTTATTGTTGTTGGTGTGAACGAACCTTAAACCCCTCCGATAGACCCACTATAAGTGCCATTCCTCAAAATAACACCTTACCAGCACGAAACACAACACAGAGTCTCTGTGATGAATTTCATGATCACCGAAATATGTTTTTCTGACTCTGCATGAAGACAGATGAACCCTGAAGACGCGCCCTGAGGTTTTCACGCTCCTGCTTGCATGTGAACGTTCGGTTCGGTCCAGATATCTCTTGACGGTCACACCAACTGAGCACTTGAAGCATTTCTCTCTGATTTTTATGCTCTATATTCGTTGCTCTTATATACAGACTTTTGAATCTCAGACTAGTGTAGTTTTAGTGAGAATCGCTGCTGAGGGTTTTATCTATTCTCCGACTGGCTGGACGATTTTAGAGATCTCCTGCTGCGAACACTTGTTCTCTTTTATAGTATTGCATCAGTCTCTCCTCGTGTGCTGCATCTGTGTGGAGTAAATGACTCTCCTGTCCAAAGACTGAGGCATCATGTGATCTGATGTCTGACTCTGTTGAACAGAGTCTCAGAGCTGAATGTGGATCAGTGGGTCACAGTCCTGAGAACCTGATCCTGGATCAGTATTAAAAAGCCATTAAACCTCCATCATAATCATACAGCGTTGGTGTGTGTGTGTGTGTGTGTGAGAATGTTTTCTGGGTTTTGACATCATGTTTAACTGTGTGTTTTCCTGCTCTATGATGATGATGATGATGATGATGATGATGATGATGATAATGATGATTTTATGTGGTGATGAACATGTAGATCAATAAAATAATTTCTAACAATTCAACTCCACTGTTTCTGTAAGTGACTGACAGCAAAGGAATGATTCCTGAACTTCACATATATAATGTTCTATGTAAATGTTTGAATCTGAACTATCTTGTTTTCTTGACTAGATGCCCACAATGCTGTGCATAAGGAATGCAATAGGCCTAATGTTATTGGTCAGTTTTTTTTATGTTTTATGTAATTTGATCTTTGAAAAAGGTGTTTTTACCACCCTTTTTGTCCACTTTGTACCCAATGCTGATGAGAATCCTGACTGACGCGGTTCACACACTCTGAGCGCTGAACACAGATTTGTTTAATCCTCACAGCTATGATCATTTGCCTGTTTAATGAGCAGATCATGAAAAACAGAAGAACCTCCAGCATTAGTGCTCGAGGGTTTGTGAGAGTGACGTGGGACTCTCAGACATCGAGATTATTATTTCAGCTCCTGAACGTGTCAGATTGTGTATTTTATAAAAAATGACACGGTCACTATACCTCATCTATCTATCTATCTATCTATCTATCTATCTATCTATCTATCTATCTATCTATCTATCTATCTATCTATCTATCTATCTATCTATCTATCTATCTATCTATCTATCTATCTATCTATCTATCTATCTATCTATCTATCTAGTGTGTATTTTAGCCCTTGTGTTTGTCATGTGTCTTTGTCAAGTATTGTTACCTGTAATCACTGTTTGGTAAGTCCATGTTTTTCAAGCCATTAAAAATTCAGGCCAAGTCTTTGTTTTAGGTTTGATCATGTTTGGGAAATAAAGCTGCACTTGGGTTCTATCACCTGGCCTGCAGTGGACTGGAGTTTTGAGGACTTTGCTCTCAGGTAGATTTTAATGTCACTGCTCTAAAGGGCATTTTCCGAAATGGACTTAATGACGTTTTGACCTATCTAATGCCGGATAGCAACCTCCCAGTGACTCTTGAGGAATATATTGACTTTGCCCTTTTGTTGATCGGGTTGTCATTTACTGAGGAGCCCCACAATCCCAAAGTATCCTCTAATCCTGAGCCACTTCACGTCATGGCCACCATTTCAGAGTCTCGTCCCAAGATAGGCACCATTTTAGAGTCTCGTCCCAAGATAGGCACCATTTCAGAGTCTCGTCCCAAGATGGCCACCATTTCAGAGTCTCGTCCCAAGATGTCCGCCGTTCCAGAGTCTCGTCCCAAGATAGCCACCATTTCAGAGTCTCGTCCCAAGATGTCCGCCGTTCCAGAGTCTCGTCCCAAGATATCCACCATTTCAGAGTCTCGTCCCAAGATGGCCACCATTTCAGAGTCTCGTCCCAAGATAGCCACCATTTCAGAGTCTCGTCCCAAGATGGCCACCATTTCAGAGTCTCGTCCCAAGATAGCCACCATTTCAGAGTCTCGTCCCAAGATGTCCGTCGGTCCAGAGTCTCGTCCCAAGATGTCCACCATTTCAGAGTCTCGTCCCAAGATAGCCACCAATTCAGAGTCTCGTCCCAACATGGCCACCATTTTAGAGTCTCGTCCCAAGATAGCCACCATTTCAGAGTCTCGTCCCAAGATGGCCGTCGTTCCCCAGAGTCTCATCCCAAGATAGCCGCCGTTCCAGAGTCTCGTCCCAAGATAGCCACCATTTCAGAGTCTCGTCCCAAGATGGCCACCATTTCAGAGTCTCGTCCCAAGATAGCCACCATTTCAGAGTCTCGTCCCAAGATGGCCACCATTTCAGAGTCTCGTCCCAAGATAGCCACCATTTCAGAGTCTCGTCCCAAGATGTCCGTCGGTCCAGAGTCTCGTCCCGAGATCTCCACCATTTCAGAGTCTCGTCCCAAGATAGCCACCAATTCAGAGTCTCGTCCCAAGATAGGCACCATTTCAGAGTCTCGTCCCAAGATGTCCGCCGTTCCAGAGTCTCGTCCCAAGATGTCCGCCGTTCCAGAGTCTCGTCCCAAGATAGCCACCATTTCAGAGTCTCGTCCCAAGATGTCCGCCGGTCCAGAGTCTCGTCCCAAGATATCCACTATTTCAGAGTCTCGTCCCAAGATAGCCACCAATTCAGAGTCTCATCCCAAGATAGCCACCAGTTCAGAGTCTCGTCCCAAGATGGCCACCATTTCAGAGTCTCGTCCCAAGATAGCCACCATTTCAGAGTCTCGTCCCAAGATGGCCGCCGTTCCAGAGTCTCGTCCCAAGATAGCCACCATTTCAGAGTCTCGTCCCAAGATGTCCGCCGGTCCAGAGTCTCGTCCCAAGATGTCCACCATTTCAGAGTCTCGTCCCAAGATAGCCACCAGTTCAGAGTCTCGTCCCAACATGGCCACCATTTTAGAGTCTCGTCCCAAGATAGCCACCATTTCAGAGTCTCGTCCCAAGATGGCCGTCGTTCCCCAGAGTCTCATCCCAAGATAGCCGCCGTTCCAGAGTCTCGTTTTCAAGATGGCCGTCCTTCCAGAGTCTCGTCCCAATATGGCCACCGTTTCAGAGACCTCTCCCAATATGGCCGCCGTTCCAGAGCCCTAGGCCAAGATGGCTGCCTTGCCTGAGTCAGTTACGGACGATGCAGCGCTGACAATTGTGGCCTCGGCTATCTTGTGTGTGTGTGTGTGTGTGTGTGTGTGTGTGTGTGGGCCAAACATGCATCCACTCTAGCCCCTCGTGCGCCCGCTCAGCCCAAGAATATTTTGGTTGGTTGCCATATACCCCGGCCGTCCTGGCCAAGCCAAGCTCCTTGGGCGGGGCCGCAGAGGCCAATCCGCCATGGCCCCCTGAACTTTCTTGCTATGTCTAGTTTTGATTTTTTTTGGGCGTCAGGAGCCCCCCATAGAATGGGGGATCTGTAATGTCTAGTTTTGGTTATTGTTTCATGTTTCTGGTCAAGGTCATGTCACTGTCTTGTCATGTGATTCCCTTGCCATCATGTCTAGTGCTTCCCTTGTCTTATGTGTCATGTTCTGATTGGTTCATTGTTTCATCTTGCACAGGTGTGTCTTGTTCAGTCATTATTCTTGTGTGTATTTAAGCCCTCGTGTTTGCCATGTGTCAAGTATTGTTACCTGTAACCACTGTTTGGTAAGTCCATGTTTTTCAAGCCATGAAAAAGTCAGGCTAAGTCTTTGTTTTATGTTTGATCATGTTTGGGAAATAAAGCTGCACTTGGATTCTATCAACTGGCCTGCAGTGGACTGTACACTGTAACAGTAACATAAGACATTTGGCATTATCAGGAACCACAAATATTCCCCCATTGCATGATTATACATTCTATTTAACATTATATAGTATTTTAATGTAGTACTGACACTAAAACTCTGAAAACATTTCGGGTGAACTATACACAATAAATATTGTCACTAAGCACGATACATATCGTTGCATTTTTGTATTGTGATATATTGTGACACGATATATTGTTACACCCCTACTAACTACACATGAATTGAGCTCTTCCTCAGAGATGTTTCTTCATTTTTCTCATGTCATCAAAGAACTCTTTTAAGATTTGCATGTCATTATTTCTGGGAACCGTTCTGTCCCCAGGGGCCCGTCGTCACTGAGGGAGTGGCGTACATGAAGACCAGCTATAAACCACGGGCTTCACACCGTCCTGCACTACACACACCTCTGCCATCATAGGTGTATCATCTGTATCATCACACACCTCTGTATCATCACCGTCTTGCGTCTCTTCACCGTCGGCATGGCCTTCAGCAGAGCTCAGCACTTCTCCGGCAGGTCTCTCTCCACTAGCCGCTCAATGGCTCCGGTTAGTTTCTCCAGCTACGGAAGTCAGTCGGCTGGGTTAGGGTTTGGATCCGGCTCTGGGTCGGGCTTCGGGTCTGGTGCCGGTTCAGGGTTTGGGTCTGGTTTTGGGTCTGGGGCAGGATTTGGGTCTGGGGCAGGATTTGGGGCAGGTTTTGGGTCAGGTTTTGGGTCAGGATTTGGGGCGGGTGGAGGTTCTTTCTCGGGGGGTTTGAGGATGGTTGGAGGCTCTCTCTCGGCCGCAAGTGGAGGTCACGTTGGGGCCAGTTTCAGGGCCGCCTCGGGCTCTTTCTCAGAAGCCGTGTCCAACGTTGTCAATGACAAACAGCAGCTCCAGATTCTGAACGATCGTCTCGCGACGTACCTGGAGAAGGTGAAGCGCCTGGAGACCACGAACCTGGAGCTCAACGAGAAGCTCCGCGCGTTCACCGTCAACCGAGTCCAGAGCAGCGTCAACCTGGAGCCCTACGAGATCCAGATCAAACCACTGCGGGAGAAGGTGTGTTTCTTTTTTAAGGCTTACATGCAATATTATGTGATATGTCAATATTAAATGACAATACAAAGAAATATACAGTATAACAATAGCGGTAACACTTTACAATAAGGTTCATTAGTTAACATGAACTAAGAATGAACAATACTTGTTCAGCATTTATTAATCTTAGTTAATATTAATTTCAACATTTACCAATGCGTTATTTAAATCAAAGGTTGTATTTGTTAACATTAGTTAGCTGTAGAACTAACATGAACAAACAATGAACAGCTAGATTTGTATTAACTAACATTAACAAAGATTAATAAATACTGCAACAAATGTATTGCTCATGGTTATTTCATGTTAGTTAATACATTTACTAATGTTAACTAATGAGCCTTACTGTAAAGTGTTGCCACAATAGCAAATAGCGATAAAATAGTATTAAAACAAGGTGCTAAGTATGTGATAATCTCTGCTGGTTTGCTTCTGTTTTCTCCTCCAGCTTCTGCTTCTCCTTCAGGAGCACACGCGCATCGCTTTAGCCGTGGACAACGCCAAACTGGCCGCCGATGATTTCAGAATGAAGTGAGTTTGAGCTGGTAACGCAGCATCAGCTGCTCAGTTTAGTTTCTGAATGGATGAGCCGCATTCAGAGTCGTTTTCAGTCACTGTAAAGCACATGTAAAGATCCATTCACACCAAGAACAATAACGATTACTATATTAGTGTCCACATCAGCGGACGATAACAATATATTACTGTTCACATAAATAGGAAAAAAACTGTATTAATGTCCACATAAACCCAAATAACAATAACTATAGCGATTACTATATTAGTGTCCACATCTACATTAGATAACTCCACACCAATGCAGGATAACATTCTGTTTACCGTAAGCTATTATAAGCTTATGTTTATGATAATTTGCCCGTGTGGTGCAGGTTCGAGACGGAGCTGTCCATGCGTCAGTCTGTGGAGGGAGACATCGCAGGTCTGAAGACCCTGAAGAAAGAGTACGACTCCACCAACAGTGTGTTGTTGCAGGAGCTCACGGGCCTGAGCAAGGAGTGCACCGCCCTCAAAACACTCCAGCACGAGGTGAGGAAACATGATAAACACACTTGTGTCAATGCCTCCGTGTTTCACTCCTGTAGACTGGCTCCTAAAATATCCCTTTAAATAAAGGCAAAGAGCTCATCTGATGTTTCCGGTCACGTGTTGAAGTGTTATTGTACTATTGAAAAGGTGACGCACTTCTACAATGTAAAATAAAATAACCTTCAGTTTATGTCATAATAGTCATAATATTGTAACATAATTACTCGACTATATTATATTATTTATTATAATAGGTTATAAAACTGTATTGTTATATACTGTATTATAGTATAATAATTTCTATTATTTATTATTAAATATAAAGCGTTATTTTATACATATTATATAGTATAAATGATATTATATTATATATTTGATTTTTTTTTTTTATATTTATATCATTGGCAGGTTGTAGTTAGGACAAAACTGTCTTTACAAGTACAACAGGATTCTGTTTCACCAGAAAATAACATTTGTTTTTAAAATTTAGAGTTTTAACATTTTGCTTACTTGTTAGGGTTAGAAGTGCAATAGCATGTAGACGAACTGATAAACATGAACTAAAAGCCACAAACCACAATTCCAGGCATCTTTAAAAAACTGTTGTCAAGTCACCTTTATTTATATAGCGCTTGTTTCAGAGCAGCTTTACAGAGATAACAGGAAAATAATGCAACACAGTTTGTTTCCAGAAGAAAAGAGCGTCACAGTCCAGCTTAAGTCAGTTCAGTGATGCTTCATCAAGTGAAGTAAAGTGCTGATGACCTTTGCCCTGTGGTCCAGGAGATTGTGTCGCTGCGAGGTCAGATGGTCGGCACGGTGACGGTGGATGTGAAGCAGGTCGAGAGCACGGATCTGTCCCGAGTGCTGGCCGAGATCCGCTCAGAGTACGAGATGCTCATCGAGAAGAACCGCAGAGAGCTGGAGAGCTGGTACACCAGACAGGTACACACACACACACACACACACACACACACACACACAGGGCCGGATTAACCATTAGGGCAACTGGGCACTTGCCCAGGGGCCCACGACATCTAAGGGGCCCTGGGCAGCAGGGGCGGAGTGGCAATCGGGAGAGTCGGGAGTTTCCCCGGTGGGCCGGTAGTGTTTCGAGGCCGCGCGGGCCGGTCTGATAAAATGTATTCATTACAAGTTCGCCATGCGCACTTGTGGCCAAAGCGAGGGGAAGAAAAAATATTTTAGATAGCGGAGCGTATAGCCTATTTATAAATATAAGTGCCTGTCTTTTTGCAAAATGACGCCCGTCACGGAATAGCTACAGTGGCGTAGGTCGTAACGCGTGAGCTTAAAAGCAGCTTTTGATGCGCTCGACCCGAGTTCGAATCCGCCTTTTGCCGAACTCTCTCTTCTCCCTTTTCCCAACACATATGAGATGTAAAATGTATAACCTAACATAAAGGTCTCTAGCGTTATATTTGGCCAACGAACTAAAATCGAAACCATGATATGGCTTTGTGCCTTTATAAAACAGCACAATACTTTAAGAATAGGCATCCTGTGTGTGCTGGGTGATTTAAAGAAAAGTGCGCTCTTTGCTCACGCGATCAGCATGGTTATCTGGTGTTTTCTCCTAAATAAAAGCTCAAGGGTTTATTTCTTGCAAGTGAAGAAATTAGGACAAAAGTATTTAAATTTTCCTGTATTATAGTGTAGCCTAATGTAGACTAAAATATACTTTTGAAATATTCATTTTCATTTATAGTACATTTATAGGCTATATTGTGGATTTTACGTCATAGGAATAATTATATAAATCATTATTACATTATTATAATAATTGTTTGGCATCCTAAAACACCATTGATAATGTAATGTAGACTGAGACTCTCATAACTAAAAAGATGTTTGAGCCCTGGTACAAGTCAATGCTTTTTCTTTGTTCAATGAGCAGTTCATGGGTTGAAGATCTTAATTTTGACCTCTCAAAGAGCACCAGATTGATGCATTTAACCTTAAAATGTACAAAATTTTCTTGCGGGGGAGCATGCCCCCGAACCCCCCTAGAGGCACAGAGGTCCACCCAACATAGTTTTACAAAATCCTATGGGAAAGAACGACCATTTATGAACTTTACTCCAGCATAGCAACAAAGTTCCTTTTAAGTCAGTAAAACTGTAAATGCCATATTAAAATGTCCTTGGACAAAATATACATTTGGCCCTAAGGGGGGGCCTACAAGACATTGTGCCCAGGGCCCTCTGAACTCTTAATCCGGCCCTGCACACACACGTGAGCTCGGTGTGTTTTACTGATGCTGATGCTGTGGTGCAGGTGGAGAAGAAGCAGGAGGAGGCGACGCTGATCACTGAGACAACCATCAGCGGAAGCTCAGAGATCACAGAAAACCGCAAACAAACCCTGAGCCTGCAGACACAGCTGGAGTCCTCACTGATGGAGGTACACACACACACACACACAGTAAGCCCAGGACGATGCACCTTCCCCGGGATGCACACCCCGGTCTGACCACCGTGGTTCTCTGGTCCGTGTTCATTGTCCGAGCGGAGCGTTGTCCCCTACTCGACAAGACCCCGACGGCCCGTTTTAGGACGGCCTCGGCTCCAGACGGAGATCCAGCGGTCAATCTGAATCTGGCCCAGGACGGGCCGCCCTCCCTGTGCTAAGTTTAAAATATGACTTCAAAATGATGGCATAAAACATCAAAATTATGAAATGCTAAGTTTAAAATATGACTTCAAATTGATGGCATAAAACATCAAAATTGTGAAATGCTAAGTTTAAAATATGACTTCGAAATGATGGCATAAAACATCAAAATTATGAAATGTTAAGTTTAAAATATGACTTCAAAATGATGGCATAAAACATCAAAATTATGAAATGCTAAGTTTAAAATATGACTTCGAAATGATGGCATAAAACATCAAAATTATGAAATGTTAAGTTTGAAATATGACTTCAAAATGATGGCATAAAACATCAAAATTATGAAATGTTAAGTTTAAAATATGACTTCAAAATGATGGCATAAAACATCAAAATTATGAAATGTTAAGTTTAAAATATGACTTCAAATTGATGGCATAAAACATCAAAATTATGAAATGTTAAGTTTAAAATATGACTTCAAATTGATGGCATAAAACATCAAAATTATGAAATGTTAAGTTTAAAATATGACTTCAAATTGATGGCATAAAACATCAAAATTATGAAATGTTAAGTTTAAAATATGACTTCAAATTGATGGCATAAAACATCAATATTATGAAATGCTAAGTTTAAAATATGACTTCAAAATGATGGCATAAAACATCAAAATTATGAAATGTTAAGTTTAAAATATGACTTCAAAATGATGGCATAAAACATCAAAATTATGAAATGTTAAGTTTAAAATATGACTTCAAAATGATGGCATAAAACATCAAAATTATGAAATGTTAAGTTTAAAATATGACTTCAAATTGATGGCATAAAACATCAAAATTATGAAATGTTAAGTTTAAAATATGACTTCAAATTGATGGCATAAAACATCAAAATTATGAAATGCTAAGTTTAAAATATGACTTCAAAATGATGGCATAAAACATCAAAATTATGAAATGTTAAGTTTAAAATATGACTTCAAAATGATGGCATAAAACATCAAAATTATGAAATGTTAAGTTTAAAATATGACTTCAAATTGATGGCATAAAACATCAAAATTATGAAATGCTAAGTTTAAAATATGACTTCAAATTGATGGCATAAAACATCAAAATTATGAAATGCTAAGTTTAAAATATGACTTCAAAATGATGGCATAAAACATCAAAATTATGAAATGTTAAGTTTAAAATATGACTTCAAATTGATGGCATAAAACATCAAAATTATGAAATGTTAAGTTTAAAATATGACTTCAAATTGATGGCATAAAACATCAAAATTATGAAATGCTAAGTTTAAAATATGACTTCAAATTGATGGCATAAAACATCAAAATTATGAAATGCTAAGTTTAAAATATTACTTCAAAATGATGGCATAAAACATCAAAATTATGAAATGTTAAGTTTAAAATATGACTTCAAATTGATGGCATAAAACATCAAAATTATGAAATGTTAAGTTTAAAATATGACTTCAAATTGATGGCATAAAACATCAAAATTATGAAATGTTAAGTTTAAAATATGACTTCAAATTGATGGCATAAAACATCAAAATTATGAAATGCTAAGTTTAAAATATGACTTCAAAATGATGGCATAAAACATCAAAATTATGAAATGTTAAGTTTAAAATATGACTTCAAAATGATGGCATAAAACATCAAAATTATGAAATGTTAAGTTTAAAATATGACTTCAAATTGATGGCATAAAACATCAAAATTATGAAATGCTAAGTTCAAAATATGATTTCAAAATGATGGCATAAAACATCAAAATTATGAAATGCCAAGTTTAAAATATGACTTCAAAATTATGGCAAAAAACATCAAAATTATGAAATGTTAAGTTTAAAATATGACTTCAAATTCATGGCATAAAACATCAAAATTATGAAATGTTAAGTTTAAAATATTACTTTAAAATTATGGCATAAAACATCAAAATTATGAAATGTTAAGTTTAAAATATGACTTCCAATTGATGGCATAAAACATCAAAATTATGAAATGCTAAGTTTAAAATATGACTTTAAAATTATGGCATAAAACATCAAAATTATGAAATGCTAAGTTTAAAATATGACTTCAAATTGATGGCATAAAACATCAAAATTATGAAATGCTAAGTTTAAAATATGACTTCAAAATGATGGCATAAAACATCAAAATTATGAAATGTTAAGTTTAAAATATGACTTCAAAATGATGGCATAAAACATCAAAATTATGAAATGTTAAGTTTAAAATATGACTTCAAATTGATGGCATAAAACATCAAAATTATGAAATGTTAAGTTTAAAATATTACTTCAAAATTATGGCATAAAACATCAAAATTATGAAATGTTAAGTTTAAAATATGACTTCAAATTGATGGCATAAAACATCAAAATTATGAAATGCTAAGTTTAAAATATGACTTCAAAATGATGGCATAAAACATCAAAATTATGAAATGTTAAGTTTAAAATATGCCTTCAAATTGATGGCAGAAAACATCAAAATTATGAAATGCTAAGTTTAAAATATGACTTCAAATTGATGGCATAAAACATCAAAATTATGAAATGTTAAGTTTAAAATATGACTTCAAATTGATGGCATAAAACATCAAAATTATGAAATGCTAAGTTTAAAATATGACTTCAAAATGATGGCATAAAACATCAAAATTATGAAATGTTAAGTTTAAAATATGACTTCAAAATGTTGGCATAAAACATCAAAATTATGAAATGTTAAGTTTAAAATATGACTTCAAATTGATGGCATAACACATCAAAATTATGAAATGCTAAGTTTAAAATATGATTTCAAAATGATGGCATAAAACCTCAAAATTATGAAATGCTAAGTTTAAAATATGACTTCAAAATTATGGCAAAAAACATACTAAATTTAAATTATGACTTCAAATTGATGGCATAAAACATACTAATTTTAAAATTATGACTTCAAAATTATAGCATAAAACATCACAATTATGAAATGTTAAGTTTAAAATATGACTTCAAATTGATGGCATAAAACATCAAAATTATGAAATGTTAAGTTTAAAATATGACTTCAAATTGATGGCATAAAACATCAAAATTATGAAATGTTAAGTTTAAAATATTACTTCAAAATTATGGCATGAAACATCAAAATTATGAAATGCTAAGTTTAAAATATGACTTCAAAATTATGGCATAAAACATCAAAATGATGAAATGTTAAGTTTAAAATATGACTTCAAATTGATGGGATAAAACATCAAAATTATGAAATGCTAAGTTTAAAATATGACTTCAAATTGATGGCATAAAACATCAAAATTATTAAATGTTATGTTTAAAATATGACTTCAAATTGATGGCATAAAACATCAAAATTATGAAATGTTAAGTTTAAAATATGACTTCAAATTGATGGCATAAAACATCAAAATTATGAAATGCTAAGTTTAAAATATGACTTCAAAATGATGGCATAAAACATCAAAATTATGAAATGTTAAGTTTAAAATATGACTTCAAAATGATGGCATAAAACATCAAAATTATGAAATGTTAAGTTTAAAATATGACTTCAAATTGATGGCATAAAACATCAAAATTATGAAATGCTAAGTTTAAAATATGATTTCAAAATGATGGCATAAAACATCAAAATTATGAAATGCTAAGTTTAAAATATGACTTCAAAATTATGGCAAAAAACATACTAAATTTAAATTATGACTTCAAAATGATGGCATAAAACATACTAATTTTAAAATTATGACTTCAAAATTATAGCATAAAACATCAAAATTATGAAATGCTAAGTTTAAAATATGACTTCAAATTGATGGCATAAAACGTCAAAATTAGGAAATGTTAAGTTTAAAATATGACTTCAAAATGATGACATAAAATATCAAAATTAGGAAATGCTAAGTTTAAAATATGACTTCGAAATGATGGCATAAAACATAAAAATTATGAAATGCCAAGTTTAAAATATGACTTCAAAATGATGGCATAAAATATAAACATTTTGAAATGCTAAGATTAAAATATGACTTCAAAATGATGGCATAAAATATCAAAATTATGAAATGCTAAGTTTAAAATATGACTTCAAATTGATGACATAAAACATCAAAATTATGAAATGTTAAGTTTAAAATATGACTTCAAAATGATGGCATAAAACATCAAAATTATGAAATGTTAAGTTTAAAATATGACTTCAAATTGATGGCATAAAACATCAAAATTATGAAATGCTAAGTTTAAAATATGATTTCAAAATGATGGCATAAAACATCAAAATTATGAAATGCTAAGTTTAAAATATGACTTCAAAATTATGGCAAAAAACATACTAAATTTAAATTATGACTTCAAAATGATGGCATAAAACATACTAATTTTAAAATTATGACTTCAAAATTATAGCATAAAACATCAAAATTATGAAATGCTAAGTTTAAAATATGACTTCAAATTGATGGCATAAAACGTCAAAATTAGGAAATGTTAAGTTTAAAATATGACTTCAAAATGATGACATAAAATATCAAAATTAGGAAATGCTAAGTTTAAAATATGACTTCGAAATGATGGCATAAAACATAAAAATTATGAAATGCCAAGTTTAAAATATGACTTCAAAATGATGGCATAAAATATAAAAAATTTGAAATGCTAAGATTAAAATATGACTTCAAAATGATGGCATAAAATATCAAAATTATGAAATGCTAAGTTTAAAATATGACTTCAAATTGATGACATAAAACATCAAAATTATGAAATGCTAAGTTTAAAATATGACTTCAAATTGATGGCATAAAACATCAAAATTATGAAATGCTAAGTCTAAAATATTACATCAAAATTATGACATAAAACATCAAAATTATGAAATGCTAAGTTTAAAATATGACTTCAAAATTATGGCATAAAACATACTAAATTTATGTCTTCAAAATTATGGCATAAAACATCCAAATTATGAAATGCTAAGTTTAAAATATGACTTCAAAATTATGGCATAAAACATACTAAATTTATGTCTTCAAAATTATGGCATAAAACATCCAAATTATGACATGCTAAGTTTAAAATATGACTTCAAATTGATGGCATAAAATGTCAAAATTGTGAAATGCTATGTTTAAATTATGACTTAAAAATGATGGCATAAAACATAAAAATGATGACATACTAAGTTTAAATAATGACTTCAAAATTATAGCATAAAACATCCCAATTATGAAATGCTAAGTTTTAAGTATGACTTTCAAATTATGGCACAAAACGTGAAAAATTATGACATGCTAAGTTTAATATATGACTTAAAAGTTATGGCATAAAACATACTAAGTTTAAATTCTGACTTCAAAATTATGGCATAAAACATTACAATCATGAAATGCTAGGTTTAAAATATGACTTCAAAATTATAGCATTAAACGTTAAAATTATGACATACTAAGTTTAAATGATGACTTCAATATTATGGCATAAAACGATACAATTATGACATACTAAGTTTAAATGATGACTTCAAAATTATAGCATTAAACGTCAAAATTATGACATGCTAAATTTAAATTATGGCTTCAAAAAGTCTAAATGATAACATAAAAATTCTAAATTATGACTTAAAAGTTGAAATTGTCAAAAGCCAATATTGACATACTGATGAAATCAAGTTGAAATTGACATCATAAGTCGAAATTCAGGCTGTCAAAATTATAACTTAAAAAGTCGAAATGATGAAATAAAAAGCCAGATTTAGACCTGCTGACGAAATTATTGCTTGTTACAATTGAGATACATAAAATGTTGACATACTATTTGATATAAGATATTATGGCATTAAACATACTGAGTTCAAATTATGACTTCAAAATGATGGCATGAAACGTGAAAAATTATGACATGCTAAGTTTAAAATCTGATTTCAAAATGATGGCATAAACATCTCCATTATGAAATGCTATGTTTAAATGACGACCTTCTGAGCCCTGCTGTAGTGTAATGTGCGTGTGCTTCTGCAGAAGGGCAGTGTGGAGCAGCGTCTGGTGGAGCTTCAGGCGCAGTATCAGTCTCAGATCTTCTCTCTGAGTCAGCTGGCCGGCGGCCTGGAGGGGGAGCTATCCTCAGTGCGCGAGAGTGCAATGCAACAGAGCCGCGACTATCAGCTGCTGCTGAGCACCAAAGTGCAGCTGGAGCGCGAGATCAGCACCTATAAAGCCCTGCTAGAGGGCGCCGGAGAGTTCACCGGCCTCAGCTTATCTGTCCCTGCGGTGAGGAAAGCAGCGCTGCTGAGCAGTGGAGCGGCGGCATGTGCAGGTGAGGGATGCCACGCAACATAGAGTCTAAAATTAAGTCTAATTAAACTGTTAGTTAAAAACACAGTCTAATTGCAAAATTAATTTTTTTTCTCATAATTCCAACATTTCATCTCATAATTATGACTTAGTATGTCATAATTTTGACTTTTTGTCAATTTCGACTGGTCATAATTTTTTTCGACTTATGTCATAATTATGACTTTTTAAGTCGTTTAATTTTTTTCTCAAAATTCCAACATTTCATCTCATAATTATGACTTAGTATGTCATAATTTTGACTCTTTGTCAATTTCGACTGGTCATAATTTTTTTCGACTTATGTCATAATTATGACTTTTTAAATCGTTTAATTTTTTTCTCATAATTCCAACATTTCATCTCATAATTATGATTAAGTCGAAAAAATTATGACCAGTCGAAATTGACAAAAAGTCAAAATGATGACATATTAAGTCATAATTATGAGATAAAATGTTGGAATTTTAACAAAAAAATTAAATGACTAAAAAAAGTAATAATTATGACATAAGTCGGAAAAATTATGACAAGTCGAAATTGACAAAATGTAAAATTATGACATACTAAGTCATAATTATGAGATAAAATTTTGGAATTTTGACAAAAAAATGTAATGATTTAAAAAGTAATAATTATTATATAAGCCGAAATTGACAAAAAGGCAAAATTATGACATACTAAGTCATAATTATGAGATGAAATGTTGGAATTTGACAAAAAACTTGAATGACTTGAAAAGTCATAATTATGACACAAGTCGAAATTGACAAAAAAAATCTAAATTATGAGATAAAATGTTGGATTTATGACAAAAAAACTTTAATGACAAAAATTTCATAATTATACAAGTGACAAATGACATATGACAAGTCGAAATTGACAAAAAAAATCAAAATTATGACACAGTAAGTCATAATTATTACCTTTTGTCAATTTCGACGACATGTCATAATTTTTCGACTTGTTAGAATTATT